GTTTACCCGTGTCAAGCTACAGATGCGAATAGTTTACCCGATTAAATCTTTGCTTTTTCAGTATAATTATGATTTATGTTGTTTTGTTTTGTCACAATAGACGGATAACCGGTAAATCAACGCTTATGTAGAGACCATAAACTGGTTTAGATGGTCTGCCAGGTCAAGTGATTAACCGACGCATAGGCGGAGATCTTTAATTTGATTAGAATTTATTTTATAAAACCCATGTCCTAATAAAGTTGATAAATATGATAGTTTTTTATTGTTATTTACTTAGGTAGAATATAAGTAATTATTCAAAAATTAATCATATATTTATATATCCTAAGAAAATAAATATTTGAAATTTTAAAATTTCAAAATTTTAAAATTTTGATGTAATATTTGAAAATTTGAAGAATTAAATTTTTTGATGTAATATTCTAAAACTTAAAATTTAAAAACAAAATTAAAAATTGAAAATGTTGACAGCTTCTATTTTTGTTTAAGTTTTAAATTTATGTTTATTTGGAAATTTTATGTAGAATGATAACTTATTATTTATTTTTTTGATAATACCACTAAAACGTATTTTTAATTAAATTGTTAGAACTTTTTTACCATGGCCTGACTTTACTAACAATATCAGTGAACTTTCAAAAGCAACCAACTTTAAGATAAATCCATCGAATATTAAATATATATAACCAAGATCCATATTAATCCCACTGCATCGAGAATATGTTACAACATGACTAAGGCAAAATAGATTCCAAGGGTAAAGTCGACTCGAATTTCCCAAAATGACAATCAAACAGCTACCAAACATCATGGGCATAATCGTCCAAAACACCCACCAATAAACATAAAGTTGTAGAATTGCGCCAATTACTACTGATTATGAAATTACATGTTGATGACCCACCAAACCATTTCCAGAATTGTCAAAAGGATAATCAAAACAACTACCAATTGAAAAAATAGACAAAAAATGAGTGCAATTTTGTAAACGGTTATTATGTTGTAATGTAAAGGTTGAACTAAAATGGTTATGGATCTAATCAGGTTGTTGATTTCCTATGTTTGAGGAATTATTCAACCATTTACATGAATCTCCATCACATTTGCCTTCTTCCACTTCAATCCCTTCATTTTCTTGATCTTTAAAAAAAACATCACTTACAATCAAATATCTATATAATCAACTATTTCATAAACAACCACATAATTATTAGGCTCTTTCAAGACATAAACCATCCACATCATGGCCGATTTTGTATTTAGAAACTGCCATGGGGGTTTGAATTTGATGGACAATGCCTTTATAGTTTGAAATAGGTGGGAAATAGATAATGGGTAAATGTGACATTTACATATCTAGTCATCAACCTACACCCACCATCACAATAAGTCACTTACCCGGATAACCAGTTAACACCACCGGACCTTCAACCATCACTCGCTATCATCTGTTACAGCTAAGCACCACAACAACCTCTATTTGTTCGAACAAACATCACTCACCTTCATTATCTTGAACCTCAAAAAATGGTTGTGTCATAGAACACGGACATAACTCGAATATAGAAACCGAAACAATTTTTTAACTTTAATCATAAGAAACCCCAAATTGATTTCATATCTAAAATCAAACCTAATGCAGGAATAAGATTCCTTTCACCACTCTTACCTTAAAATGAACAAGGGACATTTACCCGACTGAGATAACATGATCTTGTATGATAGATAGTCTCGGTCTCTTGGCCAACATTACCTAGTTACTACGACAAATATTTAAATAATATGTTTGATTAGTTTAAATCACTACAAATAAAATGTCATTTAGTGGCATACATTTTTAATGGCATACACTTGATTTGCCACTATATCATGTTTCTAGTGGCACATTCTATGTGCCACTATAAAAATTAATAAATTTAGTGACACTTAACATTTTATATCACTAATATTTATAACTATTAGTGACATGATGTTTTAATATGCCATTAAAAGTTATATTTTGTTATATACAATAAATGTACAACTGTTATAATAAGAAAAGTAAACGACATAACTAGTCCCCAATCTTTCAAAAAATTACAACTTTCGTCCGTTTTTCATAATTGTCTATTAATTTGATTGCTATTTCATATATGGTTAATCTCTACAAACACTGTTCATATATGGTTCATTCTGTTAATCACATTAAAGTATTTTGGTGTTTTCTTATTGCCCCTATAACATCCTATTTAAAATAGAATAATTAAATAATAAACCCGAAACCCTGAGAAGTAATTTTTATTATTATTTTAGATTATTATAGCCCAAAATCAAATAATAATTAGCGAGGTGTTGGTTTCGAGGGGTTAACTAGCATAATTTAGAAGTTAGCGGTCAAAATGTAAATTTTGGATTAGTTTGTAAAGAATTTTGAAGGTTGAGGGTTGTTTAGTAAATTATGGGCTTATTATAAGAAGATTTTTGGAAACTGGGGGCTGAATGGTAAATATTGGATCAAAGTCGAAAGGATTTTATGGAGTCAGGGGCTAAATGGTAATTTTGGGACTTAATATGAAAGGAAAAGGAGAACGAGGGACCGGTTTTGTTAATATGGATCATAGTTTGAATGGAGCGGGTATATAATTGTACCATTGCCTCTAAACCCTAACCCTAGACATGCTAATCGGCCGCCACTCTCCCTTTAACCTCTCTCCAGCCGTCACCACCCCTTCTTCCTCCAATCTCCGACGACGCTACCCCTTTTTCCGTCGAGTCGCACACCACCTCGTTTGGGGTCCCAAACCCTAATGGGCCCAATGAAGCCCTAATTGACCTAAAAACCCAATCATGTGACTAATGGGCTAGTATTGGGTTGGAAACCCTAATTAGGGTTTGGAAAACCCTAATGTCATGAAACCCTAATTTTGGGGATTTACCGGGACCTGCACTTGAATTAATTACTAAACTAAAAATGTTAATTAATAATCATTTGCAAACTAACCTAAGGCAATATTGGACTTAACGGATTAAGTCCTTAATGGGTTAAGTAGGAACACTTAACCCTAATCGTCATTTCATGTGAAAAACCCTAATTTCACTTGGGCCTTGAGTTGGGCCTTCCTATTGGGCTTTGGCGATTAGACTATTGATGGGCTATCCAAGAACAAGTAAATGGACCAAAATAATTGAATGAGCTTTAGGATAAGGACCATGTGAAGGACTTGGGCCCAATTTGGAAAATTAGGCCATAGGTGGGCCATAACTAGGCCTTGATGATTATGTGATATTGGGCCATGGGAATACCAAGAGTTTGGACTAGAATAATTGGATGGGCCTTAAGGAAAGACCATGTAGAGGTTTGGGACCAATTTGTAAAATTAGGCTATATGTTGGGCTTTGGCCCATTACTTGACTATTGGGCCTTTGGAGTGTGATTTGGACCTTGGGCTTGGAACCCAATTATTAATTGGGTGTTGTTTTGATGTTGACAGCTCGGGAATCTGTCAACCAACAGCTGGAGTTTTATCGGCGGGACTTCAGCAGTGCAAGGTGAGTTATCCTCACTATACTAAGGGGTCTAAGGCACCAAGGTCGGCC